CTGCCAAGGTCCCTCTGGATGGCCTCCTGTCCCTCTAGAGTATCAACCAAACTACTCAGTTTTGTGTCATCCACAAACTTGCTGAGGGTGCACTCAGTCCCACTGCCTATTTTTCTGACAAAGATATTAAATAATACTGGTCCAAATATGGACCCCTGAGGGACACTGCTTGTCACTGGTCTCCACTTGGACATTGAGTCATTGACCACAACCCCGAGTGTGACCAACCAGCCAATTCCCTATCCAGCAAGTGGCCTGTCCATCAAATCTATGTCTCTCCCATTTTAGAGACAAGGATGTCATGTGGGACAGTGCCAAATACTTTGCACAAGTCCAGAGAAATTATGTCAGTTGACCTTCCCTTATCCTCCAATGCTGCAGCCCCATTGTAGAAGGCCATCAGATTTGTCAGGCACAGATTTGCCCTTGGTGAAGCCATTTTGGCTGTTGCTAATCATCTCTGGTTTCCATGTACCCTACCATAGTTTCCAGGAGGATCTGGTCCATGATGGTGCCAGGCACAGGGGTGACACTGATTGGCTTGTGGTTTCCTGGATCTTCCTCCTTCCCCTTTTTACAAGTCAGTTGCATTTCCCCTTTTTCCAGTCTTTTTTTCCAACTTCACCAGTCTGCCACAACTTCTCAAATATGATGGCTAGCAGCTTAGCCACTTAAGCCACCAGTTCCATCAGGACTCGCAGATACATTTCATCAGCTCCCATGGACATATTCAGGTTCCTTGGCTGGTCTTGAACTTGATCTTCTGCAGTGAGTGATTCTCCATTCTCTCAGCCCTTGCCTTTGCCTTCTGTGACTTGGGTGGTGTGGCTGAAGCACTTGCCAGTGAAGACCGAGGCAAAAAAGCTGTTGAATACCTCAACTTTCTCCATGTCAGTTGTAGCCAGGTCACTGGTTTTGCTCATTGGGGTGGTACAGTTTCTTTCACCTTCCTTTGTTATCCTATGTATCTGAAGAAATCCTTCTTGTTATTTTTCGTGTCCCTAGAAAAGCCCAGCTCCAGCTGTGCCTTGGCTTTCCCGATTCCCTCCCTGCACTCACTGGCCATGTCTGTAATCTCCCCAGGATGTGTATCCCTGCCTCTACTGCTTTTGCGTTTTGGGTTTGTGTTTTAGTTTGGCTAAGAGTTCTTGCGTTAGCCAAGCTGGGCCCCTGCCTCCCTGCCCGACTTCTTGTACACTGGGGTTGAGGCTCCTGTGCTATCAGAAAAATGTCTTTAGGCATCTCCCAGCTCTCATTTGCTCCTTTACCTCCAAGGGCATTTCCCACAGGATCCCCCACACTAGTGCCCTGAACAGCTGAAGCTTTCCCTTTCTGAGGTTTAGGGTCCTGGCTACTTTTTACCCATCTTGTATCCCTCAACACTGAGAATTCCACCAGGCCATGGTCATGGCAGCCCAGGGTAACTCCAGTCTTGACCTCTCCAATAAGATCTGCATTGGTGAGCAACACATCCAGCAGTGCCTCTCCTCCGCCAGGCTCTCCATCACCTGTACTGGGAAGTTGTCCTCAGTGTGCCCCAGAAGTTGCCCGGACCGCTTGCATTTTGCTGTGCTGCTTTTCCAGTAGGTGTCCAGGTGGTTGAGGTCCCCTCTCAGGATCAGGGCCTGTGAAGGTCACTTAAAACTGCTTGCAGAAGATTCAAAGTACATACATATAAACTGGCAAAAACGTTTCACGTGGAAGCTCAGTCTGAACCTATGCCAAGTGTCACGGACAGACTGGGGTCTGAATGACACGCTGCTGCTGCTGCTGGCTGCCCTGAGAGCTCTGGAGCCTGACCATGTGGAGGGCAAGCCTGAGCCTTTCCCCTTAAGCTGAACTCAGATGATTTTTATGATTTTTCAAAGCTGGCACAGAGATCCTGCTTTTGTGTGGCCAAGGTCGGCCCTTTGTCTGCACAGAAACTAGTTGTGCCCTGTGGAATAGCTGCTTTCTCCTGGGATGTGCCCAACCCCCCCCATCCAACCCGCGGCTCTGATGAGAGGTCCAGGCTGACAGCGCAGAGAGCACGTGGGACACACAGAAAAAGCAAACGCCA